GCAGGGGGCTCCAGTGATTTCTTTTTTTCGAATCTCTCCATCGGGCGGCCGTGTGGTAAGCGGAGGCTTGGGTTTTGCAGAGCTGCTCTGCTGCCCTGAGTTAGCAAGTGACACAACTCCAGGGGTCAATAAACTAGCCTCTCTGCAACTCAGCAGCACCTTCAGGTTGATACATCCACGTTGATCATACAGTTGTGCGGATTCAAACGAAAAATGTGTCATTTCTTCGGCCAGAGGGCTCATCCTGAACAACAAGGCTGGCCCGCAGGACATGAAAACGTGGAGGAAGTGTGAATTGGACAGTGCACACAGCTCCGGGAGGAATGTGAGGCGCGCGCGTACACACACATACACACACTTTTTTGATTCTGCCCAAAACGTGAATGTCTGAACACGCCCTAATGTCGCACAACTTCTTGCGATCTCGTTGTGGAACCCTATCATGAGTGCGAGTCATGCTAAAATACGGGAATGCATTGGCCTTGGGCGTGCATCCTATTCAAATCAGCGGGCAGCCATATTACTTCACATTTGTGCCCTCTGCTGTGACACAGCCACTGGTAAATTCTCATGATCCCAGCGGGGCCAGCTGTCGGGAAAGCACTTCATGCATTTGCACATCAGTGGGGAGCAGGTAATCTTGCAGGCGTAGTGATGACACCGTGCATGGCACTGCGCACATGCACTGAATCGGTGTCCCTCTTCATAGAGTTTCAATTCTTTTCAATACCCGGCCGCCCCCAGTTGTACTCATCCGTGTGGTGCATAGACCACCAATTAAATTATGTCAGAAAAAACTACTTGCAAACTCTAGCACATCGTGTGTCCAATACTAGCCAGTTTACGCTCTACATTCTTGAACGGTGCACTCCTCGATCCCATGTGTGTGTGTGTGTGTGTGTGTGTGTGTGTGTGTGTGTGTGTGTGTGTGTGTGTGTGTGGGTGTGTGTCACAGTGTTTTCAAGGACCTGGCAAACAAACTGGATCAAGAACAGTTGAGTACTAGTGTTTCCTGCCAGAAGCCAACGCAGGTGGAAGGTACAAAAAACATAAATTTTCACCAAATATAAAATTAATGGCATACCCTCGTTCATTACTTGAGCCCCTACTGAAGTACCCTGGACTGAGGACAAGGTACTTCTATCATGGACTCACTAGAGTAATCCAACCTCCTCCAAACGCGCTCTCTGGCCGACCTCCCAACAGGCAGGCGGAAAGCTACTGGTTACCCTTTGAGAACTACTCACTAGAGCCTGAGGTAGTCCTTTCATGTCTTTGTAGGGGAGATTTTCATGCCACTTACTGGTACTCAGGACTACTAATTTTCTAGTGCTTAGGCACTCTGCTAAGTTTACTATCATAGTGCGTGTGTCTCACTCAAATCAAGTATCATCATTCATTTACTAGTATGGAGTATTTAGAAAAGCGATCCTGTCAGCCCTTCTATCACAATTATTCGTTTGTTTCTACTTCTATCTATTGCAGTCAAGGTTGTTCATTCTTACATGTCACCCGTGCAGACGAAGTTGGATATTCCGGGTACGGGCAAGCACGGAGGATAGGCGGTTGTGTCCCCGGCGGTCGATACACCTACACCTTGCACATCGGTCGATCGGCTGCTGCTACTTGCACCGCTCTTATCCCAATCAGAAGTTATAAGTGAGGGCGCGGGCAGATCACTGCTGGCCGCTGAGGGGTTCGTCGTGGCACTACCGCTCTTGGCGCTTGTATCAGTAGCCGAAACGGCCCAACCAGGCTGGGCGACGATCACTATGGCGAGACCTAGCACCAGAAGAACTCTCCGATGCGTCGGCCAGCTCGTCCACAGCATGGTGTCCGCCCGGCCAGAAAGCCAGAGATGGTGCGGCGTCCGGCTTCGCTGCTGCTGCCTGCTCGCCCATCGAGCAGCCCACAGCATAGTGGTTCACGATAAGCAGTTGGAGCGGACGATGCACGAGACTACCGATATGACACACTACCCGACCAAGGACCGAAGGACTCGTACGCTAGGAATGGGTCCAGGGCCTGTCCTCAACGAGAAATCAGTCCATGAAAGAACACAAAACTTGCAGTGCACCATTCGCGCTCATCTTTCGGACAAAGAGTGCCTCGCAGCAGTTTTGGGACTTGACTCTCAACTACTAACTGGCCGGTAATTTTTTTCTGATCCTGCCTTGACTCTTGCCCCTGCAGGTGAACGTTCCTTCTATTCACGCTGTACGGTCCAGGTCCAGGATACCAGTCTGGTCAGCGATCCGGGGTTCAGCACGGCTCTTTCCCGTCGACTCCACGCACACTCTGGGCTAGGATAAATTTAGAATCTGAGCAGGTGCGCACACTACTAGTACTAGTCAGTACTACAAGTAACACGCTCAGGTCTGGATCGGGAAAGGACGGCCTGGTCCAAGATCCGGTGAATGAGATTGAGTGCTTGACCGGATCATCAGGGGCAAACAGCCGAGCGCGGTGAGTGAAGTCGGATCACACTCCCACGTGTAGATCTACGATCGCGAGGCACTCGGGCAGCTGAACAACTCTTGTTGCCGCACAAACAGCACCTGCAAGAGGTATATTATGGCACCGCAGGCCGCGCACCTGAGGGCCTTTCTGGAAGCCTTACTCGATCGGATAGAGCGAAACTGAGCACCCTGGGATGCGAGCAGTTTTTAGTACTCCCGGGTCCAAAATCTTACCACCAGGCCGGGCTGATCAAAACGTCTGCCGGGTCTGCAGCCTACAAACGTGGATCTGCCGACACTGTGCTGTCGACGACATGTCCCGCATGGGCATCTTGTGTGAAAGCAAGGAACGCTTTTTTTTAGAAAGGAAGCTTCTTCCCCAAAATTTAAAATTTTTTAAAATTATTCCTTCTGAAAATATCATCGCGTTCTTGACCTCGAAGCTGACGGCTGAATGCGATTAGGAAAGAAGATTCCTGAAGATGCACCAGACTGATTCTGGCAAGCCGTCTGTCGTCTGGATATGCACTGTTGTTCGTTATGGTCAGCAATCTTCTTCGTTCGTCCTTTCGTTTTCCTGACCACGATGATGACAAGCAGCTCTCATGCTCAGGTTAGTGCTACTTGTATGTCTGGGCACACAACACATCTGAGATGCACCCACTGACGTTATCGAACTGAAGAATGCAGCAAGGGTTCCTCGGATTCTCTTGATTTCGGAACAAATTTCCTTCACTTTCACCCTCTCAGTCTCTTCCCCATGCCCTCCATGCATACACAATGGAGCTTGCATTTCAAATGTTGTTTTTATACTTTGGCAGTGCCTCTGCTACACTTTCATATAGAGTGAGGTCCTGTAAATAGGATCCAACATTGTTGGTGGTGGTGTGTGTGTGGGGGGGGGGGGGGGGAGGTATGTTTGCAGCCAGGATGTAGGAATGACACTTCTGCACAGCAGGTGGCAATAGTCAGAACTGGTCACTCTACAAATCCCATACCTGCCGACCTTTGCAAACCTGAACTGGAATGACATACCTAGGCATGAAAATGTATACAAATATACCCCGCGGTGAGGCATGGAACTAATGCTCTTTTGGGTGCCTATTACCGCCCTCGATGTCGGGATGGTTGTCAGGTATGAAATCCCAACCGAGAAAACCATTTAATTAGAAGATAAACTCGGCTGGAACGCCGCTTTTCTGGGAATAGAAATTTGTTGTGCCACTTTCGGCTAGTCCTTTTTGCAGAAGTGATTCAGTGCCTCCGCAATGCTGTATGAGGGCCAGGACATAGCAACTTTCTGTATGCCGGGGGGGGGGGGGGTCATCGTCCGCAACATTGGTAGAGTTACGGTTACATTGTATATGTAGATACGTGATTTTTGGACTCGCCTCCAGGGATTTGTCGTAAGCTGGGGCACGCGTACGTGAAGCAAGTGGCAAGAAAGGCCCAGTTCGTACAAGGGAGTAGTAAAATACCGGTATTTTCTGTTCCTATGTTCCCACGACGAGTCCTCTGTGCACTGAGTGCAGGTTTCTTGCCGCTCCCTGGTCCCCGGTTCACGTGATCGTGACGTTTATCAAATAAGGTCTATATGCGGGCATGCATAAATCAACCCCTCCACAAGGACGGCTCAAACAGGCAGCCAAGGAGTGAAAGTTTCGCTCCTGGGGCTAGGGGTGAAACGAAGGCCTCAATTTGCCAAATGAACCTTCTCCATCGAAACGAACGAAGGTGTCGAATAATTCTTTTACCAGTTCACAGTTCCTGTTCACACGCACTCCCGGGGGGGGGGGGGGGCTACTATGCGCTTGTAGTGACACTTACCGTAAGCCAAGTTGCACCTATGGAAGCCAAGTGGAACACGACTAGTTGACTGAACAGACTACAGTACAGTATACATGCACATGTATACAGTGAAGATCAGTGCATGGATGCCTGCCGTAATCGTATGTTGACCTTCGTTCGAATTGAAAAGAGAGGGTCGTTTCGAAAAAGAAAAAAAAGCTCAATGGAAGTATGATGCTGCTGACAATTCAAGACTCACTGAAGTCGCCTTTCTGGAATGGATCATGCGCTCTAGGTTCATCCAATTGGAAATGGACTCAATCATTGTTACACCATTCTTGTTTGGTTAGTTATTCTACATCCCATAGCATGTACAATCCAACTTGTGAATAATGTACCTCCGGTTTACAAAACAACTCGCAAATAACAATCTTCAGATCTAGTGACCATTTGATTGCATACTTCCAACCTCACGAGTAACAACAATACACCAATAGCGACACTTTTTTCATTCACAATCGAGGGTCAGTATTCCCCAGGTTGACTGCAATTGCCAATCAAACAGGAGGGGCGAAAGTCGACCACGGCTGAAAAGGCGTAAAGAAAATGTATGTCATGAGCTAGATGGCAGAAGGAGGAAGTAGGTTTTCTGAGAAAGCAAGAAACAGAGGTGAATGAAGCACCAGGTCTGTCCATGCAGTGGATAGAATTATTGGATTGAAAGACAGGCTCTTTACGTCAGCTTGCTACTATTATACCTACATTTATTATTATTATTATGACGGATAACCCAAAGGCAATGGTTTGCTTTCTGCCTTTTTCATGCAGGATTCTGAAAGCTGGAGCAGCTCTGCTTACCTCGACCACTGAACTTACAACTAACTTCCAACCAAGTTCAAGGCAGTATTATGATGAATCAAGCACGCTTGCCATCATTTCATCATTGCAAAGTACATCGACAATATAGATTTGGTGCTGACTATGTATGATGCAGAGTGTGCTCTATGTATCTATACTACTGATTGGCCTACATTGTACTTATGTGGGCTGAGAGTAATCGATTGTGCTGTATGGCAGTTTACTTGCATGTCATAGATGTTCACATTGCACACAGCTACTGAATTGCTTTCTGTTGCACTGGCCTACTGCGGCCCACTGCAAATAGATTGTAGTGGCATGGGCCATGCCATCATTATAGTGGTATACCGGTACTACACCAACAGTTTCACTGGTACACTGTACTTACTGGCGGATCTACATCATGCACAGCCTTGTCACTGCTTTTCTCACTTTTTATTAATTTACTGTACTGTACACATTTTGGCACAGCTCTTCCACAAAGAGTTACTAGTATTTTCTTCTGCATACCTACTGTATACAGTGACCTGACTGGTAACATCTATGGCTGTGAAATCACAAATTTATGGGTTGACAGCCTCAAACCTATACGATTTGTTTCTAAGAACGTGCTATAAGAAGTATTCTATTAAAGTATTCTACTGGAGCTCGCAGGACATAGAGTGAGTTTGGAGCACCACTCACTCTTCTGTAATTTGGATGTCAAATTATGAAATTCAGTTTGTGAGGTAAACCCATGCATGGCATTCACTGCTATAGTATGACTCGGGGTAAAGTGTTCCAACGCATACTCATAATAGTGAATAGTTGTGTGTCAGTTAATCGGTGCCCAACGTTGTTGCTGCTGGATAAATAAATATTCTGAGATAACTGAAGCTACACAGCCATCTAATGTTCAAACATGCATGCATCGAAGGGGCCGTAACGAGATCTGCAAGGCATGATTCTATACCTATATGCGATGCTCTCTAGCAGGACATTCATCCGCCTCATTTTCTCTGTGCTGCATTGATGAGCGAAACAGCATGCTGTCCGCAGATTGAGTATTGTGTATAGACAGACGTGTATGTAGTGGTAAAGCTCAAATACATGTACAACATGACAATCAATAACAATCCCCGTGTTTTACAACAGCACAAACCCAGCACCACAATTCTTAAATTTGGGCTGTGGTGTTCTTAGTATTCCAGGCTGGATGTTCTAGGCTTCCACGCTCTTGGGCGCACGACTTTACTGTGCCGAAGAATATTTTCAGCCAATGAACCCAGAGCTTGGTGGCATGGTGCCATGGAACAGCCTTTTGCATGTGGCTTTCACTACATGCACATGTACAACGTTCAATTGATGCGGAAAAATCAGACAAGGACTTTTGCAGTTATGAGCAAGGTCCCCACGAATGGTCATGTCACTTCACAGAATACATGAACTGATAGATTAGACCTCGGTCCCCTCAGAGAACGCTTGGGTGAAGTCGGTTTCAACTGAGGACATGTCCAAAACCATGCTAAGTACTTGAGCTGCTCATGAACCCCACAATTATCAGGCCCACCGGAACCGGTCTGGTTGGTCGGGTTATCACCGGACCAACTTGTTGGCCACCAACAAATGTTTCCTGCTGTGGAGGACGTGTGTACCCGCCATATCACACACAAAGTATAAAAGGCCATGAAACTACCGGACCAATCAAAAACTGCTTCTGGCGGTACTGATTATACAGTACAGGTTTAAAAAGCAGCTCCATTTTTGTCATACATCAAACCAACTCTGTCATTGCTATGCTACTCAAAAAGAGTAGTGATGTTTATTCACAAAAGAATCACAATGCTAGCAGAAAAATTCGATATTCTCCAATTTTAGGGGCACTAAAGTACTATGCAAAAATAAATGCTGCATGGTCATTGGTATGAAGCAGTCACCTCAGTACAGCAATTAAACAGGCTGATTATGTGAACGAGATTCACGGCAAATCTTCTTCCATCAGTGCTGTTCAGTCTTGAGTGGTCCACTGAGGCAGGAAAACAACCTGTTCGGTCCTTCCATACGAGAAACAGAAATTGAACATGTTCCAGGGTGGAGGTGGCGAGCATCGGCAATGTAATGCACCTTTAGGCCAACACGACCATCATTCCGACATGGATTCTCAAACACCTTCGCTCGTGAGAGTGCCTCAGAGTGGTATTCATCAACAGATGGCAATCCTGTAAAACACATGAAAAGACATAGCAGCAACACAAAGAAACCTAATGTTATAGAAACGAATTCGAAAAACAAAGTCTACTGAACCAAGGTACAACCACACTCCAGGAGGCAAGCAAAAGTGCATATAATCCGAAGGTTGCGATGCCTGTATGTATTGTATTCATTGATTCATGGATTCTCCACAGGCCTTAGCCTA